TGAAATGGACTGGTATTGGCCATTTTGAATCTGAGAACCACATGGTTTTCTGACTCCTAGTGACCCTGTATATGGTTTCCAAGGCTGTAAATCTTTATGGGAGCAAAAAGCTTCACAAAGGCAAGGGCTTTGTTTATCTTGTCCAGTCTTGAATCCATGATGCTTAACAGTGTTTAAGGGGTTCCGATGGCATGGTGGTTAAGTGCTTGATCATTAACTGAAAGGTTGGTGGTTCAAATCCATCATATGCTCCACAGGAGAAAGATGTGGCAGTCTGTTTCCATAAAGATCACAGCCTTGGAAATCCTACTGGGCAGTTCTACCTTGTCCTATAAGGTTGCTATGAGTTGGGATTAATTTGAAAGCAGTGGGTTTAATTTAATTCGAACAGTGTCTAGTACAAATTGGAATCAGAGTGGCATTGTAGGGTAAGCACGGGACTGCTAGCTGCAAGATGGGCAGTTCAAACCCACCAGTCGCTCCTCGGAAATCCTATACAGGGTCTATGAGTCAGAATTGACTTGATGGCACAACAGTACAGATTAGAGGAGGCATGGAGATGCTGTAGGATCAGCACTGGATTACTAACTGTAAAGTCAGTAGTTTAAACTCATCAGCTACTCGGCAAGAGAAAGTGCAGGCTTCCTGTGCCTATAAAGATTTACAGCCTCTGTAACCTAATTATTATAGGTCGCTATGAGTTGAAATCAACTTAATGGCACTAGGTTCGGTTTGGGGAATACAGCTTAGGCATTCAAATATTTGCGGAGTTAAGTAAATACATTGATGAAGTCTGAGCAAAATACTGAGGGATTTGTTTTAATTTGAAAATTTATCCAACACAGTAGACTTTGTGGTTGTAATTATGTGTCTTGGAGTAGGTTCTGACTCACAGTGACCTTGCATAGGGTTTCCATGATTATAGATCTTTACAGAAACAGAAAGTATCACTGAGCAACTGGGAGATTCGAAATGCTGACCTTAAGGTTAGTAAAACAAGGTATAACCCACTAAGCTATCAGAGTCCCTTTTATAGGTGGTGGTGGTTATGTGCTGTGGAGTCGTTTCTCGACTCATAGAGACCCTGTATGGGGTTTTGGAGAATGTAAATCTTTAAGGGCGCAGAAAGCCTCATCTGTAAATAGAAAAATGAATAATGAATAAATCCCTAGAAACAAATGTTCTGGAGCAGAGTCATATAATAATAATCAACTATCAGCATCTTTGTCTCAGACCTGCCTGGATTAGATGAAGCCAGACAGAGCTTCCATCTCAATACAAAGAATTTAGGGGAAAAAAAAAAAAAAAATGAGTGGTGACTACTACTGAACTACAATCCCCGGTAACCCTCGCGCCATCGCGCCCATTAGGAGGCGGTGTTCGTCTCCGCCCGGGGAGCTCTAGGTTTTCGGGCGGGGACGAGGGGGCGGGTGGGGCGGTACTTTGGCCCCGCCTCTTCTCGCTCTCTACCGTTGCCCTCCCCCAGAATTGTGGCCACGCGCAGCGGCGGCGGTTGTTCCGCTTCCCCTCCGGCTCCGGCCGTCGCCATTGCCGAAGGCTTCTTGCCCTCCCTTCCCGGGCGCCCGCGGGGCTTGGGCTGCCGCTCGGCCTAGTGGTAGCAGTGGCTGGGCTCCTGCGTGGCCCTTCTTCCCACCCCGCTAACCCCCATCCCTACGCTCCCAACGCCGCGCGTTTTCCCGGGGCGGCTCCGGAGCCCCGCGGGAGCTCGGACGGAGGCGCCTCTTTGGGGCGGGACCTTTCCTCGCCTTGGGTAAGTGTGGAGACAGGCGGGCGCGCCCGGCCGGGGAGCGGGCAGTTGCGCTCCTTCCTCCTTCCCAGTCCGCGGCCTAGCCGATGGGAGCGGCCCCGGGACAGAGACCTGCCCCGCGTAGGGCCGAGGAAGCCGCCACCTGCGTGTCTGAAATCGCAGTTCTTGGGGCGGTGGCTCATTGTCTGCTCCCTTAGGGCTGTTTTCTTCTCTGACTTTGCTTGAAATGGGAAGCTTGTTGGACCGGTGAGGTCTAAGTCTCTGGACCTAGCCATACCCTGAACGGTGTAGTGCAACGGGTTCTTCTTTCGGTCGGTCTACCCTTCCCTCGCTTTTCAATCTTTTATTCCTTTTCTCCGATTACTTTAATGCTGGACCAAACGAATCGGATTTTTCCCCTCGATTTCCCATCTCACAGATTTTTCAGCCCCTCCTTGCTATCTCTGTCCACTGAGTTTCATCTCTAAGAATATTGTCTTGAGACCCTTACTTTATTCTAAACTACAATCTATAATCTCTTTTCCGTATTTCACGTAAGTAGAAACCTATAGTTTTCCTAGGAACTGAGGGTTTCCACTTAAAAACAGGACTTTTGGATCTTTTCATGATTTTTGTTTGATCGTCAGTCAGGAGGTGAATGAATACATGCTTCTTTTTAGGTAAGTTTAAGGTAGCTTGAGTTTTCACCATGTTTGGCTTTCTTTAAATCGTACACCACAGTGCCACAAATTCCTCGGTGGTCTCAACTTTTTGACTAATTCTTTAAAAATCAAATCATCCAAGAATTGAAGTGTGGAAAGTAATTACCATTATCAATGTGAAGTTGTACCCTTCCTTGTTTAGTAATTTTAATGGGAATACTTTCGGGGCAGTGTGAGTGTGATTTATTTTCACTTTGATAACGAATGCCAACTCCCATTGATAGCATTAAATCTGTTCTACTTTACAAGTGATCTCTATTTTACTTTTTTCTTCCCCTTCTTTAACCTCTCTAAAAAGACAATCAAAATGGTTAGGCCTAAAATTAGACTACAACGAACTGTGTTTTGGATCAAGGTTGTGCACGTCACGTTTTTTCCCCTGCTGTTTGACTCTTCCGCTCTTCTAAGTAGGCAGGATATTGAAATGCACTAGAATTTGCTCTGGGGGGTTTTGTTTTTGTAGGGTTGTCCAAAAGAAATAACATTAAATAAAGCTAGATTGGGATGAACAGCAGTGCCTAGTAATTTTTAAAACAGGTTAAAACTTGTCAGTTTTGCCAGAACCTGTGTGGCATTTGTAACACACTCTCTAATTCACATCTCATTACAGGGTCTCCTGTGCGTCTGAATGACTCCAAGGCAAAAAGGGTGTGTGTGTGTGTGTGTGTATGTGTGTGTGTGTGTGTGTGTGTGTGTGTGTGTGTGTGTTTTAGCTGAGTGAAGAATCTTGTTATGTTGTGTTCTTGTGTAAGGATGTTGATTTAAAGCAACTCTTTCATTCTTAACTTTTAAATCGGTTTTTTATTATTAGCCAAGAGCACTGATTTACATTTTGAAAAGCTGAACTTCAGACTGCTTTTGACCTATAATATAGTTAGGTCTTAGTGATTTTAGTGAAGGAGCTGACCTCAATTTAGTGGACTTTGTGTTTTCCCTGAAGTGTCCTTTGTTATCTTTCCCTCCAATCTGAAAAGAAAAAAAAAAAAGGTTTAGTACTGAATTTCCATACTGTCATCACTTGGTAGTATTAACTTAATGGGAGGTCTTGTTGGCCTGAGGGGTTTGGGTGTAGAAATGTTGAGGGTGTGAAATGTGTGGTCTGTTGATGTCTTGTCTGCCAATTCTTTCTATAAGCACATATTTCTTATTAAGATGTTGCACTTCCCTTTGATTCCTGGTTTACAACCATTCCGAATGAGAGTTATTCTTTGGGACATTTTATACTAACCTTACAAATCCAAATTCATAAACTAATAGTACATGAATAAATAGTGGGTCCTATAGTTCTCTGATCTTTATGATGGATAAGTTTCCAAGTATATGTGGCTAACATTTCTTTATAGTTATGCTTTTTAAAAAACAGGGAACTTGTTCAGGTAGCTAAGGGTAAAACTTCAATGAGACATTTTTTTAAAAAGAGAGCTTGTGTAAGACTCTACAGCTAAAATAAGTAGGTACTATACAGTTCATACCATCTTTAATCTAGGAATCTCTGGGCAATGCAAATGGTTGGTGTCCTCAGCTGCTAACCCAAAAGTTGGAGGTGTGAATCTACCTAGAGGTGTCTGAGAAAGGGCTGGTGGTCTAGTTCTGAAAAATCAGTCACTGAGACCTATATGGAGCAGTTCTACTTTAACATACATAGGGTCCACATGATTGGTAATCTCAACAGCAGCTGCTTTTTAATCTTTAATCTATTCATATTGATTATCCTAATAATAATCTGAAGTTCAAATGTAATGTTTCTTTCCACATTCTGTATTTTAAATTTTAGATTTTTAAGTCTTCAGGATTCTGATCAATTTATTCTCAAAAGTCTTTACAGATAGTCTGAGGGCTAATTAATTTGAAGCTTTTCAGAGGGAGGGGGTATCTAAAAGTAGCACTTATGAGTCTTTCCTTGTATGCTTCATACCTTGACAGAAGCAGAAAGGGAAGGAGAAAATTCGTTTCCCACCCCCTTGAAATACTGCGTGTTGTTTCCTGTGGTTAGAATTGAGTCTCCTTCCTCTTCTCACCTTCAGCATAACCAACCTGGTTAAGAGTAGTCAATCTGTACGTTAGTATTTGCTGTGTATGCCAAGTATAGTACGTTGTTGTTTGTTAAGTGCCGCTATGTTGGTTCTGACTCATAGCAACCCTGTATAGGGTTTTCAAGGAGCGGCTGGTGAGTTTCAACTGCTGACTTTGTGGTTCAAACTGACCTTGCAGCCTTGTGCTTATCCTACAGTGCCTACACCAGGACTCCCAAGTGTTGTATAATGGTTAGGGACTAGAGACCTTGGTTTGAATCGTGCCTCTTTGACTTGGCCTTAGGCAAGATACACATTCTTTTCAAATGTCTGTTTTTATTACCTGTAAAATGGGCATAATACTACAGGTTTCCCTATAATCCAAAAACAGATGTTCTATGAAATTTGTTGTAAGTCAGTGAAGAATTACCATTAATTTATATGAGGGGAAATTTTTGAGTATTCCTATACCCAAAACATGGTAGCGTAGTGGTTACGAATCGGGCTGCGAACCTTAAGGTCAGCGGTTCGAAACTACCAGCTGCTCCGTGGGAGAAAGATGAGGCTTTCTACTCCTGTAAAGATTTACACCCTCGGAAACCCTATACAGGGTCGCTATGGGTCGGAACCGACTCGACGGCACTTAACAACAACAACATACCCAAAACATAACCTACCATATCATGCCAAATAACACACAAAATCCCCAATAATATTAACACATAGTGTTAACAGACATGGTTCAAGCTGTGGTGTAGCCTGATGCTTAGATGCTGAGCATAGTTCCTGGGAAGGAGCTTGGTGATATCAGTGACTCGCTGCAAAGCAACTGGTGAATGCTAGTTTTGCTTTCCCCCTTTTTTTAAAAGCAAAAATTCTCTTCAGTTTTCTTTCTGTTAGTGCAAAAAGTGCTTCGTGTAAGCCTTGCTTTAAAATGAAGTGGCGTTACCAACTGAGAGGGAAGGAGTCTTCACATCAAGAATCAAGCCTATCCCCTCACTGGGTGGATAGGGACGGACAGCTTAGACACTGGCTACCTAATATGGGGGTTGGGTATTAAGTGGCTGGCTTACAAGTTTTCAAGAGGAAGTTTAGTTTTAGAGTGTGTGGGAGAAGGTAGAATCCCCATTGAATAGTTTTCACCTTGTCTAGATGGCCAGACTGCAAAGCCATTTGAACTGCAAGGTTGGCGGTTCAAACTCACTAGTCACTCCTTGGAAACCCTGTACAGGGTTGCTATGGGTCGAAACCGACTTGACAGCATTTAACAACAGCAACAACAACTAATTGGGTCTGATGTAGGAGATGGGGGATAGGATTCTTTTGATTCAAAGTGAGTAATTGTTATCATGACTAATTGCAGTTGTCACAATTGTAAAGGTAGAAGATATGTAACAAAAAGAGGGGGAGTAGTTCATCTTACATTCCAGGAACAGAGGACCCTAAAACCATCAAGAGAGAAGAGTATGAGACCTGGGACCCTAACCAGAGAAACAGAGACACTAGAGTTAGAAGCAGAGGTGATGCATGGAGAGCTAGAGCAGCTGAGGACTCTAGACTCATGGAAAGAGAAAGGCTGTGTGCTGGCGGCCAGGAGGCTGACTTGCAAAATGTACCCGTTGGTTATTTAAACAATTACATACTCCTGCATATTTTTGTGTACATAAAAAGTAAAAATTTAAAAACCCAGAGAGGATAGAAGCAAATACTGTTAACTGATGATGCATGGAGGGGATTGTAATCATTGCAATGAAACAAAATATTATAGGTTAAGTGCAAAATCAATGTTCTCCTATGTAAACTATCACTTAATTCACAATAAAAGCTTAAAAAAAATGAAATGGCATAAAGCAAACTTTCAAAGAGTAGGGGATTATTTAGAGCAAAATGTGAAATTTATACAAAGAAATAAGCACTATAAATACAGTTTTTTCTTTGATTTAAGAAAAAGGGTTTTTAAATCTTATCTCAAAATATTATTTTGTAAGTCAATACATATATGGGTATACTTCATCTTTATAACAGACATCAAACTTTTCCCTCAAATTGGTATCAAGAGATTTGTTTTCTATTTCTCTTACTGTGCCTTTTGTTGTTGTTGTTAAGTGCCGTCGAGTCGGTTCCGACCCATAGCGACCCTGTACAGGGTTTCCGAGGGTGTAAATCTTTATGGGAGTAGAAAGCCTTATCTTTCTCCCGCGGAGCGGCTGGTAGTTTCGAACCGCTGACCTTAAGGTTCGCAGCCCGATTCGTAACCACTACGCTACCAGAGCTCCTTTACTTTGCCTTT